TATAACTATATGTAAACACTTGGATACCCAGTGTTTTCATAACCTCGTTGAAATAATAATTAACTGAACGGGCACTTATACATGTAGATTATACACCTGTACGGGATAGATTTAATTACCTACTGCTTTTCAATGAATCAATTTCGTGTTTTGATTACTTTCAAGTTTAATTATTCCGCGCTCGACACCCGTACGCACTGTGAACCGCCGAGCTACTCCGGCTATTGACAACACGCAATTTATACACTCGCGAAATGAACCGACAACACGAAACATGTCAATATTATTATTATTATTATGATTGTTATTGTTAAATAAATGCGCTCGTATTTTGCAAAGAAACTAAAATAAAATACGATCCGGTCTATGACAACAACATAATACTGTAGGGTCTTCCAGGAAATCGGGAAAAATTCGTAGTAACTCTCGCAAAAGTCATGAACTGTGTTTACAAGGTTTTTTTATTATTATTATTTTTTTTTTTTTATTGAAAACTGAAAATACATTATAATATGTCATGAAAATTCCAATGGTTCAAAATCGTATGTCTGGAAATTAATCAAGACAATTTCCAATCGTCGTATTCCTGAAATCGAATGCAATTCCTCCCTCGTTCTTGAGGATAATACATTACACCAAACTGTCATATTCCGAGTCATGTAAGCAGGGTCATCGATGTAATTTAGTAATTCATTAGGGTTTTGAGAGGCCAAAATGTCCAATACCAGCAATTTTACTTGTACTAAAATAATTACAATTCTGAGTGAATGTAGCGCCATAAAATATTAGACAAACAATGTGATATTTGTAATATCGCATTTCTTTCCGCTAACGATTAGACAACTAGCGAATGAAATTCAGCGGAAAGAAAATGTTACGGAAATAGCGCCAGTGGCAAACTTCTGCAATGGATAAAGAATATATTGGTCATTTTATAATGAGGAGAGAACATAAGAGCAACAATACAATGGAAACCTTAATAAACTTACTTAATAAAAACTCGAAAGTATACCGCAGAGTAATGAGGTGCATGCAGACTATTTACGCTGATTTTATTATAATAAATCGAGTAATTTATTTTTGAATATAAGTGTGTATTATATTTTAATTTTACGCGTGACGTATTTAATACAAATAATACCAAATTACGTAATTATTTCCGAACCGACGGAATAATGATAAAAATTATTTTAACGATTTTAATGCCTATTTATTAACGTAATCGTTGGAATACAAAGTGCGCAATATTATAAATATTATAACTGCAATAAATGGCCTTTTAAATTAAACGTGACGCGTGATCGTATAATATTTATCTGATCAGCAGAGGTCGAATTTACATCTATAAAGAAACAAACAAATTTAGTTCAATAATCCTCGTATTTTTATTTAAAGTAATGATTTGCAACGGGGGCTTTGATGAGCAATGCGATTTCTAACGATATTTTATTTTATTTTCGACGACGAAACGATATTATCTATCATAACCACAGTGGGGGACTAAAAAATAGTAGGCTAATAAAAATCACTTTTATTCCCTTCTTATTATAATATGTTATTAAAAAAAGAACTAGGCAGTAATATTTTTTTTTTTTTTTTAGAAAAACTATAGTAATAATTAAAAACAAGCACTTTTAAATTGCATATTATTTAATATGATTGATCGATGTTTTGCCAACCACTTGTAAATAATCGTACTTATATATAGATACATGTATTTTATGTTTTACGTGCTCCCGAGTGCATAATAATATTGTATGATGGCCATTGGTGTGCACTGCCCACGGAAATTGGTGTACTGTCACGGAAATTATTTTTTGAATAGAAAATTATTATTCGTCCAGGGCGCTTTTTTTGCTTCTTTTTTTTTTTATTTATTAAATATAATCAACACGTATGTGAATGAATTTTACATGCGCGTAGAAAAATAAAACTTAAAAAAAAAACCTTTGTGGTCAAAACTTTTATCGCGAACAAACGTGTGTTTGTACCTATACATAATGTAATAATTTATGCGCATGCACTCTGTCAGATGTTTTGATTTATAATATACGGCCCAGCGTGTGTGATGCAGAGCGAATGAAAGGATAAAACTTGTTGTAGGTAGCTAGGCAGTCCGACAGAAAGAATTTATTAGCAGCGTACAAACCGTCTTTTTCGACAAATGCCGCGCAAAAACACTATACGCGAATACCTATCAATGGCAGCGGCGACCGGCAAAAGCCGACCCCCGGAGTTGTTCGAGCCAGAAAAATCAAAAACCGAACGCGTGTTGCTGAGAATCGAGAGGTGTCTGAGGCGATATATCATACGAAAATTCAACGCGCTTTATTTCTCGAGCCTTTATTTTATTTTGTACAATTTGCATAATTTTATCAATAATGTATACTTCCGGCGTAGAATCAAATCACAGAATAAAGTTTCTAATAATACTATTCAACATTTATGTTGATTTTTTTTTTAAAGTTCGATTCTGCAGATTCAGATTCAAATGGAAAAAAAAACCTAAAAGTTTAGTTTTATCATTTGTATCGATGGAGCTTTGGATGATACGCAAGCTTAAGGATTGTGTATTTATAGAATTACAGAATTACTAAATACAGTTTTTCTGTAGATATTTATAATAATATATTTTATTAATTTTTTTTGTTTTTGGTACTTTTAAAAATTGTTGCCTTAAATATTGCACGCGAACCTTTAATAATTTATGTAATACATGTATATTTTAATATGTATAATGTATATAAATACAAAATATATAAAGACTATAAAATTTACCACCTAGCTGTACCCATTGTACGTTTAACTAAATCATTATTCTTAAGCCGTTATTTTACTTTGGTTTTTATTACGATATTATTTATTTTTAAAGTTCATGAAAACAATCAAATTATCGAAATCATAGAAAAGGTTGTTGATTGAGAAAAGGTCAGTTAACAAATAATATTTAATTCATCTATCTGTAATATAGTAATAATTCAACGATTGCGACTCTCTAGTTGAGTTTAGATCAATGAAACATAAGTTAGGTATTTACTTTTTATAAAGAAGAGCATTGTGGCATGTTTTGACCAAATGACAATTTTTTTTTAAATATTTTAGATTCTTAATAAGTTATTAATGGTTAAAACTGGGAATAATAAGGTTAAACTAAAACGCAGATAATTTTTTAAGATAAAAATGAAAATAATTATAAATATCCTTTAAATTGCAAATTATAATACATTATTTATTATGTAATGTAGATTCTAATAACTTTTTCGAACAATTATTTAGTATGTAAAAGAAACGAAATTATTAAAATCGTTTTCTATAATAATTATTATTTCCGTTGAAAAAAGATCAAGTTTCGTTATTCGCGTAGCTGTAAACTTACTCCTCGATGAATGAGTTGGGGGGGGGGGTAGTCGGCGATGACATAAACTCGCCGTGACAAATATCCTCTCCGCGTTGAATTATTAAATATATATTCAAACATATAATTTTTTAAAGAAACGTTATTTTATTTATTTATCAAAATATAATAAATTAAAACGTTCAAATGACAAAAAGTCTTGAATAATGATTAATGATTTCGTTAAGAATATCACTGCTTTTACTCGCGATTTAAACAAATTATTATATTAATACTTTCTTTTTTTTTTCAAAAATAAATAAATAAAAATCACGTCCGAGTTCATAAATAATTAGACCAGTTTTTATTAATATATTTCGCAATAAATTATAAAATTTTAGTATAAACTTATATAAGTAGGTACTTTTTTTTTTCTTGAAATATCTGCATATTATTATACTGGGTGTGGTACGAAACGTCAACAGTCAAAATGTCGACAGATTAAAATATCGATTACTGAAATATCGAAAAGTACAAAATATCGACAGGTTAATAATATCAACCGTTGTATAGTAACATCACCCGTCGAAACAAACATTTGCATTTTTAATTTTCGATATAATCTTTTATAGTTTCATGAATAATATTTGAATGCAATAAAACGTATATAAACAATATAAAAAAATACACGATATCAGCTGATCGATTTATGTTTATTTATGATTCAAAGTAGGTATAAAATCATTTGTATTATTCGTCAACCAATCCGATGTTATACTTTTACATTTGATCATCCTAGTTACGAAACACGTAGTCTGCTGCGTATTGACAGTGTATTGATACTATCAAAACTCGTGGCCGATATTTTATATTATTTCAGAGCATATTTATCGAGTTGTAGTGGTTTCAGGTACTTAAAGTCATTCATTTATTTAACACGGAAAAAGGCAGAGTGTCATTCTTCTGTTACAGCCATTCTAGAAACAGCTTGCACTACTTTATGTCAGTCAAAATAGCTATGTATATTTTGTGTGGTTGTATGATATTAAGACATCATATCTATGATATATAATGTATTAAATCACATAATACTAGTATTATAATATTATAGTATTAGCTATTGTAGAAACGTGTTTTTTAAAAACTATTTTAGATTTTGAGCGTATAGAGAAGTCTATTGGTTTCACTCTGTGTTTTCTTTTTTTTTTGTGTCTACAAACAACTTTTCTACCAAAAATCTTATTCTAATAAAAAAAAAAAAAAACAAGATAACTATTTTGTTTCATTCTGGATCTTATAGTTCATAAAAAAAAGCTGAAACGTTCATAGAATACTTATAATAAACTTTTTAGCCTAAAAAAAATATTCAAATTTGTCTGCGATTTTTGAACTGTTTATAGGCATTTTCCCGATGTAATGCAAACGATGTTTTACCCGGCTCCGTTTGATGGTGATTGCGAAGAAAAAATAATAATTTTACCCATTTGAGTTTTTTTTTTTTTGTTTCATAGGTTATTTTTGTAGGGTACTATGGTGTTTGACTAATCAGAAACATTTGAAAATTGAATACGAATTTCATGAAAAGTAATACTTAATGGTAAAAACAAATAGTTGAGTGTATCTACGAGATCTAACCAATAAGTAATGAGACTAATTCAATAAAATACGTATATTTAAATATTAAGATACATCGATGTGATCCCCTTCAAAGTACTCCCCTCCCACCCCTATACACTGGTTCCAACGTTTTTTCCAGCTCTCATAACATTTCTGGAAGGCTTCGACTGGAATGTCCTGAAGTACCCTTGTCACGGCATTCTGGATGTCAGTTATGGACTCAAAATGTGTTCCTTTCACGGCCAATTTTGTTTGAGGGAACAAAAAGAAGTCGCAGGGTGACATATCCGGCGAATAGGGCACTTGTGGCAACACTGCGATGTTCTTAGAGGTCAAAAATCGCGACACACTGAAGGCACGATGGCATGGAGCATTGTCATGATGAAGGTACCATCTTTGCACACAGCTTTTTCATGGACAAATCATCAGTTAAAATTTTTCTGACGGTTTCTCGTTTCAAATTAAGTTCATCAGCCAACATTCGAACGGTTAAACGCCGATCTTAATGCACGAGAGTGCGCACACGCTGAACATTGTTGTCAGTTCGAGCTTCAACCGGTCTCCCACTTCGCGGTTCATCCCCGACGCTTTCACGACCATTTTTAAAATTTGTATGCCATCGAAACACCTGAGCACGACTCAGGGCTTCATCACCGAACACTTTCACCAATTTATCGTACGTTTCCATAACGGAATCGCCGAGTTTAACGCAAACTTTATATTACGTTGTTCCATATTTGTGATACGCCTTACAAACACGTTGTCGAAAACATAACACAACTGGAAAACTAATTATTGTACGAAAATTGCAAGCACATGTATCGATAGAGGAGGGATGAGAGATTAACCGAACGAAGTTTCAGATTCGCAGTGTTACCACAAGCGTGGCAAAAAAAAAACAGTCTCATTACTTATTGGTCAGACTTTGTAATGTAAACATTTTTTTTTTTTAAATTGTTTTTAAATCAAATTTTAACAAGGCCGTAAATATTACGGCATTTCAAAACACTTATAACTGAACTTCGATCAGAATCGTATTTTGCTAGCAACAGTTTATCGTTACTTACGAATTTAAATTAAACCATTATACTTACCTTCCTAACTTCCCCCCTACAACGGTGGCGTATCCATCTGCAGTATTAGCTCTTTTTTTTTTTTTGGTTTTACGAATTTTCAATTAGATGAGTAGTTATTATTAGAGTTATTACCACCAGCACTCGGTCGCAAAGACAGAGCTGATATTGGATTTGACTTGCGTTATTGTCTTGAATTATAATTGCTTTTACATATTGTTAACAATACACAAATATGATATTTATAATATATATATATATTTGTATGGAACGCAACAAAATTTAATTATAATCTACTGCAGTGTACAATATACGGACGTGTATGATTTGAATTTGTAATTTAAAACAAAATTCGAATTATTCTCCGTAGGTAGGATTACACGTCAAAATCATAATATATATCATTATTATGAGCCTCTTGCACGCGGTATTCCGGAGGTTAATTGCGTATATATCCACCTATGGATAAACATATTATAATACTCCTCATGATGGCGGACAGTATCTCGTGGAAAGATAAAACGACTTGGCAATACCATCACAAAAATGTATACGGCTAGGTACCTATTCGTATTATGCCTATCGACCCGGCGGCGGCCGTGATGGCGGAGTCGCGACGAGTCGAGTATATAAGTAAGTGACCCATGTCAGAGATAATTTCGTTCAGTTTGATTTCGCGTGAAAGCTTTTAAGCCTATGCACAATAATATAAGGCAATCGTCGAAACAGCTCTATGAGCCCCATGTCCCCGCGTTCCGCTCCCGTCCGCCTCTCTTGTTTGATTAACAATTGATGTAAACCATTGCGATAAAAGTCGACTCCACTTTGCCGCGGCGAACAAATATTTAATCAGCGTCTCCCTGTACCTATAATATATAATACGGTTGTATATAATATATACCTTACATATATATTCCCTACAATGTCTCGGGGAGTAAAGTATATTATATAGTCTGCTCGCGAATATAAAGGCAGTTTAATAATATAGGTAATACAATATTGGCAGAACGTACCTCGAAAAAAAGAGGTAAAAATATTATACAGGGTGTATCCTACGATGCCGAAAGTTATCGCAAACAATTGCACGTTTTATCCGCAATGGCTTTTCTTTTTTTCCCTTCGCTTTCATTCCGAATACTCGGCACCCTCGTACTAAACTTCCACCTTCACGTGTCGTCCTTGCATACACCTGCCATTCTCATATCCCACCCCCATTGATTTCTCCACGAAATCCCGCGTTGAAATCAGATATTTTAAACCGTAAATAAAATATACACCAAAGTTAGTACATTTAGGTACTAGTATTGTGTGCGGTAAAAACCGCATGTTTGCAACGTTGAGGATGTGACGGAGCATGGAGGATTTTATTTTTGAGGATTATATTATAAACATTGAAAATGAGTAAATAATACTATTGTAATACGCAAATAGATTCCATTTTGAATAAATCTAAGAGAAATATAAGTTGTTAAACATTTTTTTTTTTCACGAGAACTCATGTATTTTTTTTTGTTTGCATACGTACCTATGTATGAATTCTTTCAAGTTTTGTTTAAATTTTTGTTTGTTTTTTTTTTTTTTTTTTACATTTTTTTCACCAATAATTCTTATTCTCAATAAAATATCTATAACGTTTCAAAATTAATCGTGTAGTATAGAATTCAAAATATTTCATATCATATTTAGTTTTGTATGTATGCTTATTGTAAAAACTTACCGGTTTCATAATATTATAATACTGTTATGCCAAAAACACAAACAAAACTGTATAGTTTAAAGCGTTGTTCTGTATATTCGGACAAATATTTGTGCATACCGATTCCGGAAGAAAAAAAAAACACCGTCTAAGATATAATATATATATATATATATAGTTGTCTACTGTGTAAAGTATGTACACGTTCATTGAAGTACCTATATTTCACTACGTATCGCGGGGAATTGATCCACTCAATTATTCTGAAGTTCTACATACGAGTTCTACAGTTACGGTTATGAGCAAATCTCGCGGTAGTTTTATAATATAATATATATATACATATAATCGTATATATGTTGACCGAATTTGTGATGTATATTGTACATAGTCGAGTGTGTTTTATACCTCCAAAACACTCTTTATACCATACACGTATGTATATTTGCGTGCGTAAGTATACACTGTCCTAAACATGCTCTTGTTCGCAACACTCGTATTATCGATACGCAAACCGAACTTCAAACATTATAACATACCGAAATCAATAGTAATATAATGAAGAATATGCAAATAACTCGTCGACGACTGCAGCGATATTTCTTCTTGTATTATTATTATCATTATTATTTCTTACTACGGTAAGTATAATCTATACTCGTACAAAACCCCGACATCCGCACGATCTGAAGTCAAAAGGTTTTATTTTTTTTTTCCATTTAAGAAATACGGAAAATATATTTTAGGCTTAAAATAAGCTTAAAATAATAGAGATAGTGACTATTATCAACATTAACATACCATTGCGTACGTCTGTCCTTTTGGGCAGTACTATTCCGTAAGTTTGGCAAAAAGGTACATTTTTACTGCCGACCTTGAACTAATACTATTCCGTACGAAAATAATTGTATAGTTGCCGACACGCGCGAAGCTGCGTTTCACAATATTTACACACAAAATAATACAAAATATTTTTACATTATACTCGCAATGCGAGTCTCGAAACACGTTAAAATAACCCGTATAAACCAAAAATCGTATGTACCAAAAACAATCACGGTAGTTAAAAATAAGCGTACGGAATAGTCTATCCATAAATATACATGTCCGGTATCCAGGTATACCGTACGGAATCGTAATAATGGAAATAGTACGTACGAAATAATAACTTACGAAATCGTACTGTAATCATTATAAAGATGTCCAGAACCATTCTCGGATCTATTTGCCCATAGATATACTATAATACTATTTGCTCTCTTACAAAAATTTAAAAACATAATATGAGAGAACCTTTTGGCACTTAGCTTGCGAACTATATAGTTCGTGACGTGAATCAAAAATTGCAACACATTATCTGGACATTAGAATAAATTATTACAAAAGTCTAACATGGTTTTACAATACTTTCCTTTAGCTATAATATTAGTTTTAAACATACTAGAATGTATAATTTGTTCTTGGAAAACACTCTTTCGGTTATCAAATATGCTTCAAATTGTTCACGTTGTACCTTAAAATATGTGTATTTTTAGTCCGGAAGCACTTTATTTGAAAAAAAATTGTCTAAATATTTAACAGTCTATTTCTAAATAATTTAAAGAACTGACAAAAATCAAAAAAACTACAATACTATTCTACCTTATCAGTTTTCCTAGCTCCATTGTGAATTATTTTTTGACAATTTATAGTCTATCTAATATTATATCCTTTACCTTCCAACTTTTCACTAATAACAGTTGCCTGGATAACACACGATTCCGCACATTGTACCATTTTATGTACACGATTCCTCAATTTTATTAATGTCCGTTATACAAAGAAAGTTTTTTTCTACCTTAAAATAATATGATTTTACACGTATATTATTGCGGAGTCACTTTAGTTACAGACATAACTTAATATGAACACAAATTAAAATTTTTAATTCCAAGAAATTAAATCAAACTGCCATTTACAATAGTTATGAATGGTATTACCCGTCCATTACGCATACACATTTTTCTATTTTCCCAGAAAATGTGAAAAACCGGGAAAAAACGTGGAAAAACCGTAGTATTAAACAAATATTAGTAAAGAGAATCTATAATGTCTATTTAATTAGTTTACGTTTACCATAATATGGCATACATATATTGTTGACAAAGCATCACTATTAACAGAACTCCGCTCAGAATCGTATTTAGTGAGCAATGATTTATCGTTGCTTAGAGATAAAAATTAATTTCCCATCTATGTCTTGTCTTCCCAACTTTTCAACAACAACAGTGGCCATACTCATCATGCGAAGTATGTCTGCCTTTTTTTTCAAATGAACAGTAAACAAACGAAACTAAACCTTTCATATTGTCTAATAATTGAATGCATTCGTGGACGTTTTTACAGGTCATTTACGAAATTCTGAACGCTTATTTATTTATAAACACTAATTATTAGCATAATAATAAAAGTGTTATTGTGAATATTGTTATATTATGAAAACAATGTCAAAAAATAATAATAATAATAAGTAAGATACCTGCTTATAATATTTCATTAAGTATGTAAAGTGAAAATAGTTATAGGTTCGAGCACGCGACTTGCATATGATTTACTACTTGGGCTATTCTCATTTGAAGTATAAACAGAATGAAAAATAGACAACTATAAAATATACAAAAGTGTTTGAATACGTAATATAATAATTAGAACTGTGAATTTGTAGGAAAGTGCATTTTTTTAGCTGATTGTGAAACTTAGCTTTATAAATATATAATTTGAATTAGGTAACAAAAAATTCATTTGTGTACATTTTTTTTTGAATTGTTTGACATTTTTATTATTTTAAGTCATTTTTGGACTTTTTAAGTCATGTTTTTCCTTTTTAGTTCATTTTCCATTATTTTAAATCTAATATCGTCAATTAACATCTTTACAGACATATTTTTTCTTACAGGCCATGTATAAGTCAATTTTATACAGGCTATATAGGTTTAGGTAAAGATAAGAATTCGATAAAATAAGGCAATATTGCAGAAATCAACTTATTCAACATTCAAATTCGATCCACATTTTTATAATTTTTCTGAAGACATATTTTTATTAAATAACCTTAAAAATTATATTAAA